GTTATCCTTACTTATCTTTAAGTGATTGCGGGCCTTATTGAACTGAGTCTGTATGTAAAGGTGCTCTCCATGCTACTTGCTACAACCTTGTGGCAGGTTATGTCACTGCAGAGTGTAGGTAAGCGTCAGCTGTGAACCTCATCAATTCAGAATTGGAGTCACATAATATAACAGCTTTGAGTTACTTTTCCTGGGACCTGACTTGGTTTTGTTTCCATCTGCTTTAATCTAAATTCTCCAACTGTCATCAGGAGATTTTAACTCTGTGGATTATTATTCCAGGACTCTGGATTGTGAGCTCAGGGTTTCAGAGATCATGCAGCTGCTGCAATCACGTATAATGTGTTTGCAAGACTTAAAATGTTGTGGATGGCCTGGTCTGGATGTAGTCACCCCACAGTTTAAGGATGTGCAGGCAGAGAGGGAATGAGTCACTGCCAGCAGGTGGTACAGGAGTCTGCAGGATTGGTGGGAATAACAGCTCCTCTGGGAGGTGCAACTTCAGTCAAAATCACACTTGGCTCAGCTTTGCATAAAACATATGAATTAGGAGCAGGCATAGGCCATTTGCCTTTGGTACCGGCAGGAGAGTGCAGAAATAAGATTAGGAAGGCAGTAGTAATAAGAGGAATAGACAGGTTTCCGTATTTGTAGCCATGGTCCAGGACAATGTGTTGTCTTCTCTGGACGTCAGCATGTCAGTGAGTAGCTGTGGAGCACATCAGTGATGGTGGGGAGAGGGAAGCAAAGGTGGAGACCCACTGATTGTAACCAGTCTCGCTACTAGCAGTATAGGCGGGGAGAGAGAGAAGGTTTTTTTCAAGCAGATTTCAAGGGAACTAGGAAAGAAATGTGACAAGTAGAACTTGAAAGGACGCAATCTCCCTATTACTGTCACTGCCACAAGCTAGTGAATAGAGAAATAGGAGGACGGAGCATATCAATGCATGGCTACAGAGGTGGTGCCAGACAGTGGACTTTAGATTCTTGGGATATTAGTCTGGTCCTGGGGAGATTGAAGCTATGCAGGCTGGATGTACTATGTCTGAACGGAACTAGGCAATTCAGTTGTGCTGTTAGAGGTGGGTTTAAACTAACTTGACAAGGAGATGGGAGCTAGAAGCTAGAATTAAAGAAAAACAAAATGCACAAAGAACTTGGAAAGAGGCAAATGGTAAGGAATGAGGTAGGGCAATTGCAGTTATGTTGATATAGTGTACGTGGACTTCCAAAAGATGTTTGGCCAAGTACATGTCATAGACTTGTCAATAATGTTGAGGCTGTGGAATCAAAGGCAGCATTCCTGCGTTGGTTAGTAGTGGGAAAGAAAGTTGCAGTGAACAGTTATATATTTAAGTGGGAGATGATTTATAGTGGTGTTCCCCTGCTTTTCTTCATCTGTTTTTTTTAGACCAGTGTGTGAAGACTCAGGAATAAGCAATCCAATTTTTCTGCAGTGAGCAGAGGTTAATTAATAATCTTCTAGTGAGCAGTCCTTTAGGGAAAAGTGGCCATAAATTTTTCATTGTGATAGAAAGTGAAGTTACCCAATTTGAAACTAGAGTCCTAAGTCCCAGTAAACTTTGAAGGTATGAAGGTAAGTTGACTATTATAGGTTAGATATCCTAATTAAAAGACATGATACTTGATAGACAATGGCTAATACTTAAGAAAAGTATGCATGTATTGCAAGAGTTATACATTCTTTTCCGGTAAAAGAATGCTAGGAAAAGCTGCCTAACCATAGCTAACAAAACAAAATAAGGGTGGTATTGGATCCAAAGGTGAGTTATATCAACTTTTGAAAAAGTAGCAAGCATGAAGATTGGAAGCAAATTAAAATTCAGTAAAGGAGGAACATAAAACAAAAACAGAAATTGCTGGAAAAACTCAGCAGGTCTGGCAGCATCTGTGGAGAGAAAACTGTGTTAACGTTTTGGGTCCAGTGACCCTTCAGCACCCTTTTCCACCATTCTCTGTTCTTTTGGTTTTTTGTTTAAGGAGGAACATGAGATTGATTAAGAGGGGAAAAATAAAATATGAGAGTAAAAGTGCAAGGAACATAGAACTGGACTTTAAGAGCTTCTGTAAGTATGTAAAAAGAAAAAGATTAGTAAAGACAAATGTAAGGTCCTTGCAATGTGAAATGGGAGAATTGATAATGAGGACCAAGGAAATAACAGAACAAGTAAACAACTACTTTAGTTTTGTCTTTACAGAAGAAAACATAAACAGCATCCCAGAAATGCTAGAGTCTAATGGGAAAGAGAAATTGAAGGAAATTAAAATTAGTTTTAAAAAAAAGTGCTGAAGAAGTTGACAGGACTATAAAAGCTGAATAATCCTCACAGGCTGGTAATCTACATCCGGGGCATGAAAATAGGTGCTGTGGAAAAAGTGGATGCATTGGTTGTCACGTTCCAAAATTCTTTAGATTCTGGAACAGTTTTAGCAGATTGGAGGGTGGGAAATGTAATCCCGATGTTTAAAAAAAGGAGGAAGGGAGAAAATAGGGAATTACAGAGTAGTTTTCCTAATATCACGAATGGGAAAAATGATGGAGTCTGTTGTAAAAGATGTGATAACGTGACTCTCAGAAAATGCCACTGGGATTAGACAAAGTCAAGATTTAGGAAAGGGAAATCATGTTTAACAAACTTACTAGCATTTTTTGAGGGCATATTTAGTAAAATAGATAAGGGAGAACAAGTGCATGTTATCTATTTAGAATTTCAGAAAGCTTTTGATAAAGTCCCACAAGAGGTTATTGTGAAAAATCAGGGCTCAGATTGAGAATTGGTTAGTAGACAGGAAACAGATTAGAAGTAAATTGGTCTTTTTCTGCGTGGAATGTGATGATTAATAGGGTACTGCAGGGATCAGTGCTGTGGCCCCAGATATTCACGATATGTGTCAACATTTATTGCAATTGTACAGGACCTTGGTGAGACTACACCTGAAGTCCTGTATGCAGTTTTGGTCTCTTTCCCTAAGAAAAAAAAATACTTGCCGTAGAGAGAGTGCAGTCAAAGTTCACCAGACTGATTCCTGAAATGCAGGATTGGGTTGATTAGGCCGGAATTCACTGAAGTTTAAAAGAATAACATTGGCAGTCTGTACAATTCTGACACAACAGTACAGACTGGATGTAGGGATGATGTTTCCCTTGGCTGTGGATCCAGAGGAAGGGGTCACCATTGCAGGACACGGCAGGTCACTTCAGACTGAGCTGAGGAAAAGTTTCTTCACTCAGAAGGTGGTGAACCAATGGATCTCTATCACAGAAGACCTAGGAAGTCCTGCCATTGAATATGATTTTGATTTAAAAAAAAAGATTTCTAGAAACTAAAGGTGTCAAGGGGTTGGGGAAACAGCAGGAGAATGGCTTTGAGAGAGGGGTTCGGTCACAATCGTGTTGAATGGCAGAGCAGGCTTGATGGGTAAGATAACCTATACCGTTCCCATATCTATTTCTATTAATGACCTAAACTTGGGGCTTAATTTAAAAGTTTGTAAATGACTGCAAACTTGGAATTATTGTGAACCGTGAGGAAGATAGTGGTAGCTTTCAGGTGGGTGTACAGTTTGGTGGAATGAAAAGCACATGAAAAATTAATGTAGAAAAGTGTGAAGTAATACATTTTGATGGGAAGAATGAGGACAGGTTATATATGAAATAATGCAAAGGGGAATGCAGCAGAAGTGTCTGTGTACAAATCATTTAAAATGACAAGGCGGGTTAATGAAGTGTAACAGATCCTGGGCTTTATAAATCGAGGGATAGAGTAAAACAGCAAGCAATTTATGCCGAACCTTTATAAAGCACGAGTCTGGCTTCAATTGGAGTGTTGTGTCCAATTCCGCAATCACACTTTAGGAGGGCTGTAAATGTATTATAGAGGGTGCAAAAAGCACATTTGAGAAAATGGTTTGTGGGATGAGAGACTTTCATTACATGAATAGATTGGAAAAGAGAATGTTAAGAGGAGATCTGAAAGATTATCAAAATTGTGAGGAGTCTGGATGTATTAGAAAGGGGGAAATGTTCCCATTGGCAGGAAAACCAAGAACCAGAGAGCCATCCCTAGAAATATTCTCGCAAGTCTTTTCTTCAACGAAATGTGGTATCCAGACTGAAGAGATAATCCAATTGAAGCCAAACTAGCATTTTACAAAGCTATTAGTTATAACCTCCTTGGATTTATTTACGCTGTCTTCATAAAACCTCCTAATCCCAATGGTATTGTTAGCCACTTGTTCAATCTACCCTACCACTTTGAGCAATTTCAGATGAATATAAAGGAAATAAAGACCGCATGAGAAGGTTTTTGCACAGCAATTGTTTAAGTTCAGGAATATCTTGCCTTACGTTTTCATGGAGACAGGTTTAATTGTAGCTTCCAAAAGGGAATTAGATTATGACCTGACGAACCAAAATTGACAGGGGCACAGAGAAAAGCCAGGGGAGTAGGACTAGCCGAATTGCCCTTACAGAACTTTGGCATAGGCTTGACAGGCTAAATGGCCTTTTTCAGTACTCTAACCATTTTGTAATTACTAGTCCAGTAACTTAATCACTGCCACATTTCACAGTTTTGAAATGAAGTCGAAAAGCGCAGCTTTCCTCTTTGACCCATCAGTAGAGAGACCCAACATTGGTAGCATTACTATGTTTTAAATAGTTGAACAATGTATGTATTTGCATTGGGCTGTTGCTGTTATATTTTCATTAAAGTGTAATGTTTATGAGCAAATCCAGAAATACAGTTCATCCACTCATCCGCATTCTGTGAAATATTAGAAAAGCGTGGTTGCATTTGGTTGGCTTTTGCAAAACCAGGCCCTGACTCTGCAAAGCTTCTTGGAGACTGCCATTTTTTTGTTTTTTGCAATATGATATTCCTTGAAATGTATTTCAATATATTGAACAAACATTTATATTCAAATTTTAATGTTCACATTCATATTTTATCACTTCTTCCGCCCTCTATTCCATCTAGAATTAAGCCTAACCTTACCTGTGAGGATGTCCATTTCAATTATAATAAAATGGAGTGGACAAGAATACCCTGTAACAAAATTGACAGAAGAGGACACAGTGCTGGACTTGAAGGAAACCATCAAAACTCTAACTGGGGTGCTGCCGGAGCGCCAGAAGTTACTTGGCCTGAAAATCAAAGGTAGCATTTGCTTGTGTTTGCAGGTTTAGCTGAATTCAGCTGAGCTGAAATGCAAACATTGTCTATATTGAATTAAACTAGCTTTTGACAAACGCCTCCTGAGTCTAACCTGGATTTGTTCATGATTGAGTTGTGAGTAAATTGAGAGGCAGTGCTGCAGAGTGAAAGATTGAAATAGTTGCAGGGGCTGCACGATGAAAGTCTGCAATAACAAAATTCACCTAAAGCCAGCTGAGATTAAAACATCTTAACGCAAGATAATCAGTGTGACGTATTCAATTTTCAGAAGTATGGTGGAATGTTCCTTTTACTTGAGTATTCAGAGGTGATTTGACATGAATTGTGTTCTAATCATTGGTGACAAACTATTTCTCATTCAAAATATTTGAATTGTCCATTGATCAAGTACTTTATCTGTTCGTTGCATTACTGCTCATTGTTTTCCACAATGTGCTGTGAAACGTGATTTGCAGAGTAAAGTCAAGGTAGTGCAAATCAAAATGCCATGCCTTTTTACTTTGGAATCAATAACATTACTCCCAAGAATAGTCTGAGAATTTACCCATATATGATGTTTTTGACTCCCTTCTGAGCTGAATTTTAGTTTTGTTAGATCTTTCACCTTTTCAGTCAATTTAACAGTTGGTGAGATGCGATCTGATACAAATGAATAAGCTGCTTTATTTTGCAGCCCAACAGGCACTTGGGATCAGTCTCTCAATTATGCAATTGGATTCATTTCAGGCCAGCTTTACAATTTGTCTTTGCATAATTTTATTTTCAATATTCTTTCGTAGGTTGTGAGCATCATGAAATGGTCAGCATTTATTGTCTATTCCCATTGTCCTTTCTCAATCATTTAAGAGGGCAGTTAAGAGTTAACCACATTGCTGGGTGTCTGGAGTCACATGAAGGCCAGAATGGATAAGGCTGGCAGATTTCCTTCTTTAAAGTACATTAGTGGGTCAAATGGGTTTTTAATGTCTATTTGGTAGTTTCATAGTGACTGAGACTTTTTTATGGGCTGAGACTGGCTTTCATTTCCAGACCCTTGTTAATTGAATTTAAATCTCACTAACTGCCAGGGTGGGATTTCAACTCATGTCCCAGAGTAATAGCCTGGACCTTTAGGTTATTACTCAATGACATTGCCATTATGTCACTGTTTCTCCACGTAACAATAATATAAGTTAACAAATAGAGTATGCTTCCCATAACAGCAGGTTATCAGGTTTGACATAACGTAATTTATGAATGCTATCTCCAACATTCCAAGCTTTTTGCAATCTTTATACTTGTTTGCCTTATTACCATCCTGTCTCAAAAATTTGATAGATCTACTGTGGTGATTTTTTTTAAACCAGTCTCCGTCAAAAAGAATGAGTCTACAAAATCCCTTGTTCAACAGCTGAGAACCGGCAGCACCAACACATTGGATGAGGTCTTGTTAGTTTGTGTCTCTGTAATTGCCAAGTTGCTTATTATTTAGTCTATGAGGAAGCAATATTAAAGTGAACTCGTTAACAGGTTAGTAAACAGTTGTCAGTGAACCTTTCAAAGCCATGTGCAAACATAGGATGTTTAGAAACACAACATCTCAAGAGAACATTTTTCCCCAAAAAACCTTTCCGAACCAAGATCATTGTAGTGTCATAGAAGTCTGAAGCACAGAGGAAAGGCCTTAAGGTTTGTCAAGTCTGCACTGATCAAAAACAAGCACCTAACTATTCTAATCTAATTTTCCAACGTTTGGCCATGACTTTCAATGCCTTTGCATTGCAAATGTACATCTAAATATTCCTTAAATATTATGAGGGCTTCTGCTGCTACCACCCTTACAGGTATTGAGTTCCAAATTCCCACCGTCCTGTGTGTGAAAAACTTTTACCACGTTTCCTCTAAACCTCCTGACCCTTAATTTAACTATATGCCCCCTGATCACTGATCCCTCCGCCAAGGGGAAATGTTCCTTCCTCTCTATCCTAACTATGCCTATCATAATTTAATCATCTCAATCTGTCTCCTCCCCTCCTCGGTCTTCTCTGCTCCAAGGAAAACAATCCCAGTGGATCCAATCTCTCTCCATAAGTAAAACTGTCCAGCCCAGAAAACATCCTGGTAAATCTTCTCTGTACCCTCTCCAGAGTGATCACATCCCTCCTAATCCTGGAATGTGGATTCCAGAACTGCACACAATACTGTAGCTGTGGCTTAAGTAGTGGTTTATATAGTTCCAGTTAAGCCTCCTTTCTCTTAAACTCTGTGCCTCAACTAGTGAAGGCAAGTATCCATTATGCTTTCTTAACAACTTTATCTGTCCTATTACCTTAAGAGCCTTGCAAAAATATACACTAATATCCCTCTTATCCTCAGTGCTTTGCTGGGTCCTACCATTCATCATGCATTCCCCTTGCTTTGTTTTTCCTGCTGAAGTGAATTACCTCACACTTCTCTGGATTGCATTCCATCTGACGTTAATCAGCCCATCTGAGTACCCTGTCTATATCCTCCTGTCACTTAAGGCTATCTTCCTCACTATTTATCACTCAACCAATTATTGTATCATCTGTGAACTTATGATTAACCTTTCTTCATTCAAGTCTAAATCACTTGTGTATACCACAAACAGCGAGAGCCCCAACGGTGATACATTTTTTTGTCACAAGTAGATTAAAAAATGTTTACAAGTGGATTAAAAGCAGGTAGTAAATCAATATGTCCCACTGCCCCCTTCCTCCCCTCTTGCAACTCCTAAATAGGGACAGATTGGATAAGGGGAGAAAAGTTGGGTCAAGTTTGGAAGAAATCAGTTTAGTGGGGCAGGGAAGTTGATAGCTCCACTTGGGCGATTCTGTTTATTGATCTTGGGAAGAAGATAGAGATCCAAGGAGGGAAGATTGCCAGAAGAAATGAGGTCAGTGACTGTTTTGAAAACAACGCATGAAACTCGGTCATAGTCCTGGAGGAGATAGGAGGAAGCATCTTCTTGGTTGAATTTTCAAAATCTAGACCATAAGCTATATCTGCTCTCAAATTCCAGACAACCCTATTTGTACTAATTTTGATGATGTATCTGATTTGAATTTTATTGGATTGGATGTTTGGAAATGGATTTTCTTTTTGTGGCCTTCATGGGTAAAAATCAGTTTGCAGCCATAACTTCCTGTGTACAAGGTCGACAGGCTTCCAGGTTATACGTGGTCCTAAGTGACCGATAAAGGCACCTGGATGCTCCTGAAACAGCAAGGATTTTGCACGTTCCTTCTCTCTCTTTTCTGCTAGCTTACTAATGGGATTGAGTCTCCTGTGGGTATGATGGTTTTTCATTTTTCATTTCTGGACAAGTGTCCTAAGAAGCAGCTCAGAAACTTGCAAATCAATCACTTGTTGTTCCATGAGCTGTGCATACAGGTCTCTGAGCTATTCTTTTGAATTAATAGGATTCTCTTTGTCTTTCAGAGATTGTGCTTAATTGACCAAGGCAGCAGAAGGATTAGGATTAGCATGCTTTACAGCATTCAAATTTCAAAAGATCATGAATGTCAGAAATGGATGACATTATGGGTCAAACACTGTCTTTTTACCTATTCATTTCACTGATTTCACTGCAAGTTTCCTCTGTCTGCACATTGAAAGGGCTCTCTGTAGAACAAGTTTTCTCTATCTCATTCAGGTGGGCTCACCGTTAGAACTCCTAATTTGAAACTTTAAGTGAACTGGTAATCTTGCTTGAAGAAGCCAAATTGTGACCAGCAAGGACACCAGGAATAAGACAACCTTATTATGATAGCATAGAGCTTGATCCAGTACCTCAGCTAGATTAATCAGCACTAACATCAGTACAAAGACAAGAATAAGGGAAATGTGATTGTAACTGGTGGACGTCACGTTCCATAATATTGTGACACAAGTATTGAGATAAAAGTGGACATGAGGAGTTGGGACAGGGTCTAAGGGAAGATTTAGTATGGCTGGTTGTGCAGGAACTGGGGAGGGAGTTACAGCCACTTGTTGTCCACTGCATGACAGGAGCAGCTTCAGCACTAAATCAATAAGAAAGCATTAGCTGGGTGAGGTTGGCTACAATAGATGGATATGTTTGACATTCAGGAAGAAAACCTGAGCATTCTCAAGATCAAGAAGCATTGCAGGACAGATAGAGTAGAGAATACTTTATTTATTTAGTTGTTAGCTTTGTAATGAACGTAAGCTGATTCCTCTTCTCTCTGTTTACAGGTAAAGCTGCAGAAGATGACGTTAAGCTGGGCGTACTTAAACTGAAACCAAATACTAAGATTATGATGATGGGCAGTAGGGAAGAATGCCTGGTAGGAATCAGATGTTCCAAATACAATTGACTTTTGAATAAAAAAGCTTTGATAACTTTCAGTGTTCGTTGAGAAAGGGCAGGTGTACAAACCTGAATTATAAAATTATCTGCCACATCTGTGGGTTCTGGTAAAGAAAAAGGTGAATTAATGCTTTGGCTCGATGTGCTTGGAATAATATTAGCTCTCTTTGTGAAATGTTATCCTGCCTTTTCTTCAAGATTACTCCAGTACTTGACTACTTTCTTTCCTACCAGAATTTGAAATGTTCAAAACAAAAGCTTTGTTTTATATAGTTTCTTGTGGGTATCGTACACTGTCTTTTACATTCTTCCATGGAGAAAGCTGCAGTTTTTCCATTGAGGTTTGGAATGGGGCACACTGGCACCATGGCCAAAGGGAAGATTTAACAAGGCTGGCTGTGCAGAAACAGGGGAGAGAGATACAGCCATTCTGTTGTCCAGTGAATGACCGGGACAGCTTCATCACTAAACCAATAGGGTAGCATTAGTTTGGAGTTCTTTGAGTGAAAGTCATTACCTCTTGGCTAGTGATAGTTAGCAGTAATGTGGTTCATGTTGCTGGAAATGAACCTGATTTTCTTGTTTTCTGAATTTGGAATGTTATATCTATGCTCATTCACAGGTCTTTGCTTCTCATTAGATACTCTGATTTAACCCAGACTGAAAGTAGATAACCTCAAACTCCATGGCTCCCTCCCCCAGCCCCATCTTAATCTTTCAATGATATTTTGCTGCTATTTACTTTTGTCTACATTACTTGGTGTCATCAGTAAACTTGAATGTACAGTTCTCCATTCCTCCATCTAAGTTATTCATGTAGATAATGAAAAACTGATCCCTGAGAGCCATTAGTCACATCCTGCCAATTTGAGGACATACCGTTATCCATACTTTGCCTCCAATTCTGTACTTTCATGTTGAAATCCATGTAAGTAATGATAATTAATACTCTTTAATTTACCACAGTAATTACCTCCTCAGACTTCAGCTTCAACCTGTTAGATGTGACTTGGCTTTTACCAATTCATGCTGGCTTTCTCTGACCAGCTCATATTTTTCAAATGCTTAGTCATTCTGTTCCAAAGAACAAATTCTGGCAACTTTCTCACAGCAGACAATTGTTTCCTGGTTTATCTTTCTTACCCTTAAATAATTGAGTGACATAGGCCATATTCCAACCTATGGGGACAATTTCTGAATCAAGTGCATTTTAGATTATGACTAATACTTTTGCAATTCCCCCCCACCTGCCTCAACCACGACCAATACCATAGGGTAGAAACTACTACGTCCTGGAAATTTGTTATTCTTTAGTTTTGTTGCATTTTCCATAATTTTTTTTTTAAAAGTTAAATTTATTCTAATACTTTCATCCCCTTGATTTTCTAAAATGTTGCCTCGTATGTCTGGTACTTCATCCTTTATGATCTACTGTGAATGCTAATACAAATTAATAATTTAACAAGTCTGCCAGCTCCATATTTTCAAAGTTTCGTCGCCTGTCTGTTTTTAAGGTGCTATATATCCATGTGCACCTTCTTTTTATATACTTATAAAATGTTTCAACATTGTCCTTGATATCCCTCGTAAGTTTTTTTTCCCTTTTCGCAGGGATTGCAGAAGTATTATACCTCTGAATTCGTGGGATCGTCATTATTCCTTGCATAAGTAAAGCCCTTTCCTTTAATTTATATCATTTGTCCCAATTCTCGAGTTGATCAGGGTACATTAGTACATTGCAGAATTTGTACAAGTCTTGAATTATACCAAATACTGTTTCTCACAGCCTGCCTCGCTTGGAGTCTTTTCTTTTAGTACTGTGTATAGCCTGTCATGGTCAATTGCTGCCTCAATTATTCATAGCCAAATGTGACTTTTCTTCCTATCTCTCAAATGTGGTACCAAAGTCAATCGTATTCTGGACATTGTTAGGTAATTGTCCCTTTACTATTACACTGGCTCATCATTCCGTGCTAAATCTAATAGGTGTTGTTCTCTTGATTCCGGGACATAATGTTCCAGAAGACTCTGTAGAATGCAATTGGAAATTTTGTTGCCTTTGAAATTCAAACTATTTTGCTTCACACTCCCCACCACCCCCGGCACTTTTCCATGCAACCGCAGGAAGTGCTACATCTGCTCCTACACTTGCCCCCATCTCAGGCCCTAAGAAGACCCTTCCACATCAAACAGATGTTCACCTGCACATCTGCTAATGTGGTATGCTGTATCCGCTGTTCCCGTTGTGGCCTCCTGTACATCGGGGAAACCAAACGGAGGCTTGGGGACTGCTTGTGGAACACCTATGATCGGTTCGCAACAAACAACTGCACCTCCCAGTCGCGAACCATTTCAACTCCCCCCTCCCACTCCTTGAACGACATGTCCATCCTGGGCCTCCTGCAGTGCCACAGCGATGCCACCCGAAGGTTGCAGGAACAGCACATCATATTTCGCTTGGGAACCCTGCAGCCCCATGGTATCAATATGGACTCACAAGCTTCAAAATCTCCCCTTCCCCGACCGCATCCCAAAACCAGCCCAGCTTTTCCCTGCTTCCCTAACCTGTCCTTCCTCCCACCTATCCCCTCCTCCCACCTCAAGCCCCACCCCCATCTCCTCCCTACTAGCCTCATCCCGCCTCCTGGACCGACCTATCTCCTCCCTAACTCCCCACCTACACTTACCTTTACTGGCTCCAACCCCGCCTCCTTGACCTGTCTGTCTCTTCTCCACCTATCTTCTCCTTTATCCATCTTCTAACCGCCTCCTTCTTTCTCCCTATTTATTTCAGAATCCCCTTCCCCTCCCCTATTTCTGAAGAAGGGTCTAGACCCGAAATGTCAGCTTTCCAGCTCCTCTGAAGCTGCTTGGCCTGCTGTGTTCATCCAGCTCTACACCTTGTTATCTCTTTAAAAACCATGCTGTTTTTGTGGAAGGTTTCTCTCATCTGTGTATTTATTCATCCATCCAGCTACTTTATCCGCCTATCAGGAGACCTGTAGATAGTTCCCACCAAAGTCTTGCCTTATTTGCTGTTCTTCAATTTTATCTAGTGTTTCTAGTACTTGTTCACTTTTTTTCACCTGTCTTTCAAATGCTGTAATAACAATTTTTTAAGGTTGCTACTGTTTCTTTTCTGGTTTCTCCATCTTTCCTAAAGAACTTATATCATGGCCTGTTTTATCTACTCATCATAGCTTGTAGCTTTTGTGTTAAGTTGAACTTGTACTTCTAATTTCATTTTTTTTATGACATGCATTTGTGTGAATGGAACTTTTAATTTGAATGACAGACTCTGCGCTGCCCGCTAGCCCAGAATTGTTTTGCTCACCCATTTCAACTAACCCATTCCCCCAGCATTGTGTGTCTGTAACTCTCTCATTTTTAGCTGAATGGCCCTCAGCTGGAGTGTCTCAAGTTAAAGACATTTCCTATAGATTTGACAAGTCACAAACAATTTGGCTGTACGCATGCTCTCACATACTGCAGTCCCAATGCACTGCTTCTGATGCTATTACTAAGTTTTCTTTCTTAGTTATTATGAGTTTAGTTCTGATACTGATAGAATTGCTTGAGTTCTAGATTGTATTTGGTAAGTAGGCTTTACCTTGATTTAACATTACTTAATAATTAACATGCTTACTCGCTTAACTATTTAAGGATAAGGGCAGGACAGTGGCCCAGTGGGTAGCACCGCTGCCTCTCAGCGCCAGGGACCCAGGTTTGATTCCACCCTCTGGCGACAGTCTGTGTGGAGTTTGCATGTTCTCCCCATGTCTATGTGGGTTTCCTCCTATAGTCCAGAGATGTGCAGGCTGGGTGGATTGGTGATGCTAAATTGCCCATAGTGTTCAGGGATGTGTAGATTAGGTGGCTTATCGGAGGGGTGGGCTGGTGTGGACTTGTTGGGCCGAAGGGCCTGTTTCCGTACTGTAGGAATTCTATGATCTATGATAAAACTTGAGAAAGTTAAAGTTAAACATTTAGTTTGATTTCCCCTAGCTCAGCTGGATATAGTGACGTTCACCAAGGTGAGTGGTGATGGTTTTGGAGAACAGCTTGAGAAATAAGATTTCTTCTCCTGAGAACTGAGAAGGTTAAGGGTGATTTAATGAAGATCTCCCAGATTGGAAAGTGTTATGCTGAACTATTGAGTATCCTGTCTACTCCACTGCCTGGCTGAATGGGTAAGGGGATGTCATTTGGCAGATTTGAGACAGTGACAATCTTGATCTAACTATGGAGAGACAGTAATCTAGGATTATTCAGATGCTGGACTTTTTTTTCTTATTCCCCTTTCTGCAGGGGCTGAGTCCTACTTCTGCCTTGTGCCCTCCCTGAGGGCATCTGAGTTTAGGACTTTCCATGTGGGAAACTGTTGATAAGAACTTGCGATATGAAACTTTATTCTCAAATGTTTCCTGCATTAAAATACAATTATTGTTTACTTTTATTAATAATTTGCACAGTCCCTACTGTCAGGAACTTACATTATATTTTCATTGTAATGCATTCCTGTTTGATGATGCCTGTGTACTTTTTCTTGCATTTTCTCCCCTCGAGGTGTTGGGCAATTTGCCCAAGTGTCAGGCTTCCTGCGTGATCTAACAAGTGAATGATGAGTTATTCAATTAAAATGAGTGTGGCAAAAATGTAATGATGGGAATAAAAGCAAAAAATCCTGGAAACAATCAGCAGGTCAGGCAGCATATTTGTGTTGATTGAGTTTTTTTTTAATCAACTTGAAACTCTGTCTCTCTCTTCACAAGCTGTCTGCCCTGCTAGACCATCTTCTGCTTTTCTTTCAGATCTTCAGGGTAAATTGTATATGATTCGCCAGCTGAGTTTTTTTTTAATGTGTGGCATAGTAAGTAATTACTACACATATTTATGAAAATACGTAATAAAATATGTATGTCACCATAATTAATCTGGCGCAATTTTAATTACATAAGTTATAAAAATTATATAATGCATACAAAGTTAAGACAGGTTTCATTCTTTGTTCCAACCACAGCTTCTTGATTTCATAAGTGGCTACAGGACACTGCCTTGCTCCACAGCCGCCAAAGCTGACCGTGAGGCTGCAACAGCAAGGAAGAAGCATGATGAAGCTTATTACATGTTATACTGAGAAATCCGAGAAGCAGCAACCTGCATCTCCAATCTAGGATTCGGTGTGCTGAAAAGGAAGGGCAGTTAGGCCACATTTTTGAAAGTTACTAATTGGGAACAATTTAGAGTTAGTGTAGTATAATCCTTAATTGCATTTTGTTAAAGAAGAACATGGAATGATCATGTAAAGTAGCAGGTTCAGTACTTAAAGAGAACTGGAACATAAGAACCTGCAAACGTGTGTAGTTCAGGTAGCAGGACACATGGAGACCAGTTAATCTAGCATTCAGTATTCTGGGCTTTTTTAATAGGAGTGTAGAGTACAAGATCAAGGAGTTATGCTGAACTTAATCAAGGCACTTGTTAGATCTCATTGGAGATATGTGTTCAGTTCTGGATGCCCCACTATAGGAAGGATGTGACCTCATTAGAGAGAAGGCAGAAGAGATTTTCAAACATAGTTCCAGGGATGCAAAACTTAGTTATGAGGATAGCCTGAAGAGGTTGGAACTGTTTTCTTTGGACAGCAGAAGGCTAAGAGGAGATCTGATAAAAGTTTCAAAATCATGAGGCGTCTGAATAGAGTATATAGGGAGAAATTATTCCTACTTATAAAGGATCAAGGATGAGAGGATGTAGAATTGAAGTGATTTGCAAGTGTAGCTAATGTAATGTGAGAAACACCTCTCACACAGAGTGGATCAGTTCTGGAAAGCACTGCCTGGTAGTGTGGTAGATCTTAACTGATGCATTTGAGAGAGTAATGTTTCAATAGAAACAATCGTCCAATTTGCAAGGGTTTGGGGAAAAGGCAGAAGAATAGCAATGAGTGGTAGTGCGTGTCAGACAGCCAGTGCACACATGATGGGCTGAATGGCTTCCTTCTGCAGTATAATAATTCTGTGATTAATATGGGCAATGCAATTAAGTTAATCCTCTTCTACTCCCATATGTAATTGGGTGCACTTTCCAGTGGAGGTGCAGTGACTGAATAGCAATTATCAGTATGAACTCTGACTTTATCGCATGCAGTCTATATCACTCTCGTTTATACTGTCGGACTACAGTTGTTGCTTAGAATGAGATCTGATAATTCGGCTGAAAGTAGAAATTCTAGACACTTGACCCTTGCTGACCTATATATGTCATTGTCTATTCCATCAGGCAGGGCTTCCACCACTTTGGCCAACAGGGCACTTAGCGATATCAAAATATTTCCTGTATAAATTTTAATATAACATCTTTACAATTGCTAAGCTGGACTTAATGCGTGGTACAGACTTTGTCAGATTGCGGGGGTAATGCTGTTGAAATTATCCTGCTCCTCTGTTGTAAAAATAGTGAATAACTGTAATTGTACACGACTGATGACATTAAGATAATATGCTGGGAACTGTTACTACTTCATTGTTGATGTCCTGCATGTGGAATGAGACCATGGCATCCATTCTGAGATTATTCTGAGCACAATGCCCAGTGGCAGTGACCCAGGTTGATACGTACTTCACAAACATTAACCAGATGCACAGGAAGAGGGTTGCTTCAAAGCTTCTGACTAGACTGGTTGCAGACTTCCTCTTGGATTTTTGTTTCAATTTGTTTAAATACTCATTTATTTTCCCACTCACTCAGGAGGAAGTACTGGCACCACCCCCCGACAATGATGATGTCATCAATGACTTTGATATTGAGGAAGACGTTATAGAAGTAGAAAACAGGTATTCCATTTTTGTTCACTATCATAGGCAATGGTCCCAACCATCTTACTGAAACATAAGAATCTGTCAAGGCTTAAGAGGGTCCCTACTGAGGGGTTGTTTCTGCTGTGAAAAGTATTTCAAACATGAGGCATGATTACAAGATAAGGAGTTGCTTGTTTAGAGATTGGGAGAAGTTTATTAACAGAAAAAGTGCTATAAATCTTTGTAATTTTAATAAAATTAATAATAAAAAGGGGAATGAGAGTTATTGATGCTGTATCATTGATTAGATTTACGTCTGCCACTGAGGATGGGAGGATGTTAAGTTTTTGTTCATGCTTATTGGTCTGTTTATCTGGAAACACTCCATCTTGAACAAATGGACAAATTTCAACAAGGTTTGATGCATGGTATTGCCCAAGTTGTTTCTGGCAACTATGCAGGTTTGGATCTTTGAATTTTTTTTTTGAGGGATCCATTAACATTGGGAGATAAGCTGAATTAACTTTTTTTTAAGAATTTTATTTTTTTTTGTTTTAGTACAATGCAGGTTGCCTTGGCTGCTGTAGTGGTATTTGGCACTGTTGTAAAACTATGAGCAGTGTTGTCAGAGCAGGTTGTGGAATGTGGATCAGCTTGAACCCTCCTCAGGGACAAAAGTTTTTAATAAAATGATTTCTTGATTCAGCTATCTAGTTATAGACCATGAGTAATATTGAATTAACAAAGCGTGGTGGAATAATGAGCTGTATTGAGCATCTTCTTCACTTGGATTGGAAGATTGGAATAGACAGATTTTTGGTGTCCGACTGAACCAAAGGATACGGAGTGTGCGTGTGGAAAATGCAGTTGAAACCAAGATAAGCCATAGTTGTATTGACTGGTGGATTAAGTTTGAAGGGCCCTCTGGTCTCCTCCCATCTCTTGTGATTGTCACAGTGTCTTTGTAACTTAACCTAATGCTGGTCAATGTTTTCACCAGAATTTTAATGAAATTTAATAGTGAATGTGTGCAATGTACATTCAGTATCCAGGTGAACTGTAGAAAATACATAGCAGTACAGTTAGACATTCGGCTTTTCCTAATCAGAACATACGATTGAAAATGCTATAGTCAGATGTGTCACTGTAGTGAAGTACTGAGGCTGTAGCCAGGCACCGGTGTCTGGAGGGGTATATAGTCAATTAAAAATCTTGTATAAGAGGCTATTCACATCAACAAATAAAATACATTGATTTAAATATCAAGTATTCTGTAGTATGTCAGTACCATACTGATAAGTCAGATTTTCCTGTTCAGATATTTAAAGGAAATCCTGATATTGACTGACTTTGAATCTTTATACTAAATGGTTTCTGTTAGGCAAGCATATAATTTCTGGGGAAAAAAGAATCCTACTAAGGTAGTAATCAGTTCAACAGAAGTAGATACACACTTCATGTTAGATTAACTTTTGCTGCGGAACAGATTTGGGGGTGGCTTGTGCTATTCATTTAAATGACTTTATTTACCTCTTTATTTATATGTTGACATCCTGATCTAGTAGTTTACCAGTCAAATTATATGTTCCAAGTGCTGCCTTAACAATCTACGTTAGGTCAACTCGGGGAGTACTAAGTCTAATACATTTCGGAGATAGTAGGAACTGCAGATGCTGGAGAATCTGAGATAACAAGGTGTAGAGCTGGATGAACACAGCAGGCCAAGCAGTATCAGAGGAGCAGAAAGGCTGACCCTTCTTCAGAAATGGGGGAGGGGAAGGGGGTTCTGAGATAAATAGGGAGAGAGGGGGAGGCGGATAGAAGATGGATAGAGGAGAAGATAGGTTGAGAGGAGACAGACAGGTCAAAGAGGTGGGGATGGAGCCAGTAAAGGTGAGCGTAGGTGGGAAGGTAGGGAGGGGATAGGTCAGTCCAGGGAGGACGGACAGGTCAAGGAGGCGGGATGAGGTTAGTAGGTAGGAGATGGGGGTGGGGCTTGAGGTGGGAGGAGGGGATAGGTG